ATACTGCTAAATAAGATGAGGTTGATAATAGGAGAGAAATCTTTGATATATAGGACCTCACTAATAGCGAGATGTTTCTGGTAATATGATTTATATCGAATTTTAGTGTTTTCGACAAAAACGTTTCTTAAGGGATCCTGTAAATTGTGGGTTGTTAGATTTTTTTATAGAACTTTGGTATGATAACTGACACGTAAAACGTCTACTCAAGGAGGTGGTAGTATGTCCGATATAGGTAAATTATTTTTGACAAGAAATACAGTCTTGCACTGGGCAGTGAAATTGATACACTATATTGGTCATCAATAGTTTAGATTTGATGGAGTTGTTTTGATTAGTGACAAGGTTTGCGGTCTTCTATTTTGTGCAATATATTATAAATTTTATATGTTTTTTCTGGAATGAAAAAATGCACACACACACACCCACACACACGCACACACACACACACATATATATATATATATATATGTGTGTGTGTGTGTGGAGAGAGAGAGAGAGAGAGAGAGAGAGAGAGAGAGTGGGGGGTGTCTGGCCTGATCAAAAGTTTAACAGTACACTAAAATGTTTGTGCTGATAAAACCAACTATGGCGTCGAACGATTTCGTTTGTCCAGTTTCTTTTCCCAAAAGTGCCGTGCGCAAGGTAGACCTCTTCAAAGCACTATAATTAAGAAGTCCCTTCCTCAACAAATGTATCCTGATCGGAACGCTAAGGTTTTAAACACTCGACTACGCGTTCATGTTACATGATTAATATGAGGCATAACAATACTAACATTTTTTAGTTGAAGAGTTAACAATTACATTGTTTTGTACATGTTTTGGCGCAAGCTATCTTATACTTACTTACCTCAGCTAATTCTCGGACGCTTACTCCAAAAAGTACACTTTTACTGGTTAGTGCCATACTTTGCTATACAAAAATTGAATATTTTTAATGACTATTTATAGCCAATTTTTGTGTAATGTTTGAATTAATTCTGGATGCTTCCTGCAGAAAATAATAAACGTTATTGAACTCCTGACTTCACAAACACCTTTTTTTTATATTATGATAATGCTTTATATCTCCTATTTGTGGAATTTCCTTCCTATTGCTTGTTTCCCTGATAGCTATAATCTCCAACTATTCAAATTTAATGCCTATCGACATCTCCAGATGCCCTGATATGTTCCCTGTCCTTCTCGTCATCCTTTCCTCTATCACGCCTCTTTACTCTTGCTCTCACTCTCTGTAACCCCTTGCGTGCTAGTGGCATCTCGCCTTGCTTGGGGTGAAATGCTTAAAAAAAATACACGATGATAATGACAGTGTAATTGTATTGTTCTAAGTGATCAATTGAAAGAATACAAAGTTTTTGGATATAATCACTTTACATGGTCTGCACTTGTCATAGAAACTTGTGTTTGTCAGCTATAGAATTTAATTCGGGTGGTGTCAGTATGAGAAAGTTGAACGATTTCATCCGGGCATTAAAGTTATGGAAGAATAGTATCATGGAAGATAGGACAAAAGAATGATGGGTGACGACCGCTAGAACTTGAAACAGGAAGAAATCTACCAAGCATTAACAAAATTCAAATAAACGAAAGTTCTTGCTATCATCAATAATTGCTCTCAGAATTCGAATTTTAATCACTTATTGTGTTATATTTTTCAGGTTTCAGTTCTGTTTTATTATACACAACGGTTGTGTTTAATCTTCAAATGAACATTTATTTTTTGTTCATATTTACCAGGGAACTAACCCAATCATGACCATTTGTGACATACGATATGGTAATCGAAATAGTTTTTGAGTATTGTACAATGACTGAGAAATACTAAAGTACTTGGAACAAAAATAACATGAATGAATAAGAATTACGGACAGTTTATCACAACTTTGGGCACAATACTCAACACATTATCTGACATTTTGAAAGATAAAGTAACAAATTATTGTTAACCAAACTTGTTTGTACATAAACATACATACATACATACATACATACATACATATATATATATATATATATATATATATATATATATATATCGTTAAACGTAGAGAGCCAGACAAACCTACCAAGGTTTCACCTAAGCGGATCGTCAGGGAAGGCTGGTAATCTGGAGCAGGAAAACAAATCCAAGCGTCGGAAAATGGGTGTTTTTTGGGGGGAGGGGGGGGTTTTTTTTGTGTTTTTTTTTTTTTTTCTATATTCAGTATCTACAAATTGTTTTGGATAAGCCAAAACATTTTTTAAATGTTTTATAGGCCTATTCATTTTTTACTAGTATTTTTTATCTTATTAATGATTTTATTCATGGAACGGACTGGAAATGATTTTAGTACTGAAATGCATTTTACTATCGAAATGCATTATAAGTACTTTTACCACTGAAATGTGATACAAATGATTTTACTACTGAAATGCATTGTAAATACTATTATTAATGAAATGGTGTCTAAATATTTTTAGTACCAAAATGTAGATATATATTAGTATATATTGAAAATTAAACAAATATATATATATATATATATATATATATATATATATATATATATATATATATATATATATATATAAACTGTTGATTTTGCTGTGATTGGGCAATAATCTATGGAACTAAAGAGTGGAAATAATGGCAATATATAAACTCAAGAATAAGTATTTGATGAAAAATGTACATCCAGGGTAGTGGACGCCATGCAACTTTAATATACACGACCTCTCTAATAGCGAGATGTTTCTGGTAATATGATTTATATCGAATTTTAGTGTTTTCGACAAAAACGTTTCTTAAGGGTTCTTGTAAATTATGGTTTGATAGATTTTACCACTTTAAACAATTATGTAATGTTGTTTCCCTGTGCCTTTTCTATAAATACTTTCATGGTAATTGTTTTGATGAACTTTCCTCTATTCTACCTAGACTTTATGAATTTAAGCGAAGTACTAAGATTTGTAACTTATCATTGTACAGTTGAAATTGCTAGATGCAACCGTAAATTCTATGCTGACAGTTTCTTATCTCGTACTTCTCAGTTGTGGGACTCTCTTCTGGATTCTTTAGAACTCTGTTCCTGCTTTTTTATTGTTCTCTCTCCTTAATAATGTATTTTTATATATTATCTCACACTCAATAACCCATTACGTCTTAGTGGCTTTATTGCCTTACTTGGGGATAACGAGTGAAAAATTGAACTCAACGGGAATTCGTTCTGGGGTGGGGTTCGATTTCTTATTGCGAGCTGCTATCCACTAAATCACCAGCGTAATAGTATTTAATAGTACTGCGTAATAGTATTTAATATTACTAGCTTTAACCCGTGAAAAATTCACGATTGTCCAATTTGAATTTTCTGATGAATAAGTTAATGAATGAGTAAGCTCGAGGCGAGTTTTATGACAATAAAATATCCGTAGAAATTCGCCTACTGCATTGTTGAATATTTGAGTTTAACAACTTTAATAAAATATTGCAATACCAATCATAAATATGAATGCTGGTCGTTATTTTAAGAAGTGAGTACAAATGAAAAATTTGAAATTCACAACTTTTTCCATTTCACTGAAACAGAAGTTAAACACCTCTCTCTCTCTCTCTCTCTCTCTATATATATATATATATATATATATATATATATATATATATATATATATATATATATATATATATATATATATATATATATATATATATATATTCTGAAATCCTGTAGTGTCCCATCCCTTTCCACTCGATCAAAATGGAATAGTCCATTATTTATTAGGTGTTGGTAGGAAGCGTTAAACACTTCTATTTTCTCTTCTTCATTTCCTTCTTTCTTTCTTTCTTTCATTTTTTTCACTGAAATCAAGTAGTGTCTTTTCCTCTCTTTCCACTCGATCAAAACGGAATAGTCCATTATTTATGAGGTAATGTCTGGACATAACGGTCATGCAAACTAACGATGTGAGGGACAAGCACAGTTATAATAGGGTTGGGTTCTTTTTAAAGTCTTTTCCTTCTCTTTCACTACCAGTAGCCCCTCGTATCTTAGTAACATTCCTTGGGGTAAATTGTTGTAAAAAAAAAAACTAATATCATCTAATTACCTACTGTGAAATGTTAGTTGTGACTCTGATAGTCTTTTGTCTTTCCATGAGATCAAAAGGGAATCTTTCATTATTTATGAGCTCTTGGCAGGACATAACGGTCGTGCGAACTAACGCCGAAAGGGAGAAGTATGATTATAATAGGATTCTTAGATAGACCATTGTTAATCATTACTACTTTTGACTCGTATCTTTTATTTTATTTCTGTTGATTTTCTTCGCAAAAAATAGCAAGAATAGTATGTAAGAAATACAGGTAGGTATGTAAGTAAATATAACTCTACAAGAATCAATAAATAAATATAAGTAGTCGATAAAAAACTTACAATTTGATGATTATTGTTGTATCTTAACGAAGATGTGAGAGTGCCGTAACGGTTTTCAATATGAAAAATAAAATCGCCAAATTAAGTTTAATTCCAGCTTAGTCAGTTGCGTTCACTTTCGCTCAAATGCTCTTGCGAATCCATCTCGTCTCTCCTCCCAAATTATACGCTAAATTACAAAACTGTCTTGCTTTGGATGACAACCAATAGAAAAAAAACTATGAATTCTGAACAGGAAACCACTTCAACATATTTCCCCAAAATTCATAACAATTCACAGAAAATTAAAAAAAAAAAGGGGGAAATCTGTAGAGAGCTATGATCGCCTATAAAGAAAATTAAACCTTTAAAGAGAAAGGCTTGCATCTTAGCCCCGTCAGCCACCCTCAGAGATTACCAATGTCCGGTAATGATGAAAACGTTGTCCGGGTGATATGGAACAAGGGTGGGGGTGATCGAATCGGCATATTGTTCTCAGGGTATACGGCGAACACGTGCAAGGGAAATAGAAGCATTTAAGAGCTGACACGTTCCGAGGCGAAAAACAAACACTCTCTGGTCGTGATCAGCGTCCCGTTATCTTAAGACAACTTGATACGCAATCGTACACATGGCCCGGTGCTCAGTTACCTCCCTTGCGAACAAGATCCGGAAATGTTCAACCACACGCGCTTTGTCAATTGGTTGCTTGTCAGCGATCATTTTTACAATTTTTTCGCCTGCCACATGGTGATGAGTCTGACAGAGTGTCAGAGGCTTCGCTAATATTTAATCCCCCTCTCTCTCTCTCTCTCTCTCTCTCTAATCACCATTGTAGGCAACCACGCCACCATTTCATTGGTAATGTTCTCTTCATTGTTACAACCGCA